TCTTTCTTTCTTTCTTTCTTTCTTTCTTTCTTTCTTTCTTTCTTTCTTTCTTTCTTTCTTTCTTTCTTTCTTTCTTTCTTTTTTCCTTCCTTCCTTCCTTCCTTCCTTCCTTCCTTCCTTCCTTCCTTCCTTCCTTCCTTCCTTTTCTCTATCTCTCTTGCTCTTTCTTCTCTCTCTCTCACTCTCTCTCTCTTTCTCTCTCTATCTCACTCTCTCTTTACAGTTTTTGCCATAGGATGTGTGTGCTTGCTCACCAGTAAGAGAAGAGCGGGAAAGTGGGAAATCACCCTTCAGGGCTATGGCCTCACCACAATCATTCTCCTCTCAGGATTTTGGGCATGCATGCACATGTGCCCAACATGATTTGCAAGCCTCTGGGTCTGGGACTCAAACTGCAGTTGTCTATGTGAGAGTCCAGCACCTCAACCACCACACCACCTGCTGGTCCCTGAAACAAGCAGTTTTTACAATTTGCAAACTAAGCCAGATGAAAGGACTTTAGGATAGGGAGTCTTTATACTTAAGTGGACAAACTTATAGTAAAGAAAGCCCAAAACAGAGTCAATTTCAGTTCTTAAAATTTTAGGCCATATCCACAGATATCAGTTAAAAAAAAAAAAGTTTTGTATAACATGTATTTAAAACTGATATAAAATCAAAAAACTTAAAAAAAAAAGATAGAATGATAATAGAACCTTTGGAGTGTTAGGGAAGGATGTTTTCCACTTACACCATTGGGTGCTGGGGAAATACAGGGAAGGGTGCTCACTCTCACCCCAGTTAGCACCCTCTTTGCAGTGTTTACTTGTCTGTAGCTCTTCCCCACCCCTCTTCCCATTGCCTCTCTCTCTTCCCATGCCATCTTCTGGGCAGAAATGTGTTCATGAATATTGAAGAAAGTTGAGCGAGAGAAGAAAAAGAGAAAGCAGTGGGAAGTGGGGGCAACTGGAAATTTTTGTTGCCCTCTATACCCTCTGAAACTACCATGTTCATATCTGATTGTACATAGACACATATGTGTATGGCTTTTCTTTCACGACTATTAAATTATTTTAAAGAGATAAACACAGAAGAAACACAATCAAATGGGAAAGAGATACTAGCTGTCACTGCTTCTAAGAAGCCATCTTTAAATAGGCTCCCTCCCCATCTGCCCCTACCCTACCATCCATCCATTCCTCTAACAGAGTGAGTGGCCTCTTTCCTGTGTTCCTCTAGTCCTTTGATGAAACCTCTCTTGTGCTTGTGACACTGTGTTTTATTGTTGGGTTCAATAATTCTCTCTTCAACTGGGACTGTGAGCCATCTACATGCAGAAGGCCCAGTGAATGAGATGGACAGAATCACACAGTGATTTCCAGTGTCCTTAACACATCCCATTGTCTGGAATGGGAAATATATGATGGTTTCATGGAAAACTCATAATAATAATAATAAGACTCATCCTGTGTTATATTTAATGTGTTTAAGTCTATTGTAAAAATGTTGGTTTAACTGTTTAAGTAGTTGATAAAGGTAAGTAATTTCTAGGCACAATTCTGTTATTAAAATATCATAGCTACATGCAGGTAGCCTATGAGCTGCTCATGATCTTAAAATGATTCAGTCTGAAAAATTTCAATAGGTTAAGTAAAACAACTGTTCAGCTTAACCGTTTTACTTCTAAAATCGTGGATGATACCATTATGTCTGGTTTGGTATTCTTTAAGCCAAAAATAGTTGATACAACATAATTGAAATTTCTAAGTTAATAACTATATGTCCATGAAGATTATTTTTCAGAAAATTCACTCAACATGAGTATACATGATTATATGTTGAGACTGATGTTGGTACATGGTAATTTTCAAAGGAAAAGCTCTAGAACCAAAAAAACAATTACTTGGTTAAGGGAACATGAAATACAGCAAAACTTCCATACACTAAAAAAAAGACCCTAAAATTCCCAGAATTATTTCAGCAGAATTCAAGTCAAATTCCAAAATCTGACCAAAATCACATTTTCCATCACCCTCTTTTCTCCCAACCTGATAAAATTAAATAATAACTAACTAGGTATCTATTGGATCGTCAGAAGACTCATGACATATTTTTCTATGCCAAAATACATCATAACTTTTTCGATGATGTAATATTAGTTGCAATGAGCAGGTTAATTCTTCCCAAAGAAATTATACATTTTTTGATGTCATGTCTTTGAACCAAAAGCTCATACATCTTGGTCTAGAATTGCATGTTTCTTGGTGTGAGACTAAACTGTAACGCCTGGTTTTATCCTCCATTACAGAAGACAATAGCTGTGCATCTT